AAAAAAAAAAAAAAGGTATCTTACTTCTTCCTTACCAGTGTGAATTGTTTCTGACCATTTAGCATATAAATCAGCAGAGAGATTTAACACTCTTACACAGCTATCTGCAGCGCATCTCCTCTATGGGGGATCTGAGAAGGTACTTGTCACTCTCAGTTTCACAAAAGTAGGGTTCTTAACTCATCTAGAAAGAGACAAACCTGGTTCTCTCAAATTGTGCCTTTCTTCAAAGCCTATTCTCTGAAGATCTTCACACTAGTCTCTCTCGTAGATGCACAGCCACACAGACAGTGCTTTCCTTTGCCCCTGGCTTTCTCTACTTCCTTGGGTAACATCTGTGATGAAAAAGTTCTGGCATACTTGAGTTCCACATATCACAATTTGACTGTGAGCAAAATACAGCTGCATACACAAAATAAGCATTAAAAAAAAAAAACACATATAAATGGAGATAAGTAGGCACATTTTAGGCTGACTTTTCTGTGAGTTGTAATTTAATGAGTCAGGCTCGCTCAGGCCATGCCACATTCTGCTTTTCAACTGTAATAGTACGTTTTGCTGTTTATTCCTTACCACAGCAAGCATGAGCCTTTTAATAGCTCCTGCAAAACACATACCCTCTCATAAAGGTCTATGGTCACACACATGTTCCCAAGCTGGCTAGCAGGAGATGGTAGTCAAGGGAATTAGGATATCAGTATGCACAAAATTACTACTTAAAAAAATAAATAAATGCGTTGAACAGCTGCAAAATCTCTGGGAATACACATTTCAGGTTGCTTTAATCTAATGGCTAATCTGAGCTGCAATAAAACCATTTGACACTGTGTTCCTCTTCCTGCCAAAAAGTGGGGCTGAATAGTCTAACTACAACCTGTTTACAAGCACTTCTGCTCCATATTGCATCTTGCTCATCTGGCACTCTCTTTGCTGAATTGCACTGCAATTCAGGCTAGATGTGTCCAATATTAAAAAAAAACAAAACAAAACAAAACACCACTATCGAGCTATCTCAGAAGCTATTTTAGCTATAACAATTCACAACAGAGAAGAGTTCTCATTTTAATCCCTGGAAAAATTCTTTAACTTTCCATTAGTATTTATACACACTAAGCTATTTAGAGTCTCACTTGCTGTCAGAAGTGCAATTAAACAAACTAACACAAAAGACACACAGAAATAGCATATCAGGCTTACCAGACTTATCACTCAGTGACTGCTGGCTCACTAGCTCTCACCTGGTAAAATAACAGAGCCGGTATCTTCATGATCTTCCATCTCTCCTTCTCCCTCCTCTGTCGGGTTTCCATATACTTGCTCCACGTCTCCACTCAGCTGCATAGTTAAAACAGTGGCTCAGTTTCCAAACTTGCATTTGCTGCAATTTCTACAGGACTAATAAAAAGGCCAGAACTAGCCAAAGGTACAAAAACATGCCCCCATCCCATGAGCACCCAACCTCTGTTCCACCTGCTCGCAACGTAAAAGCCGTATTTATGTAAAAATTATGTAACCTGCATGCTGCAAAAAGAGAAGGACAGCACATTAAATATAACCTACTTCTTTTCTGCTGCTTCAACAATAACATCACCTTTTCTTCCAAGATCAAAGCTACCTTTTCCCTGACAACTTCAGGCCACTTTAAATCCCCAGCTAGGGCAATGCCCCTGAAATAAGCAGGAACTTGTTTCTGTCACTCAAGAACATGTTTCTGGGCATAAACAAACCATAACGCAAGCAGATTATTAGCACTTCTTAATAAAGAGGTGCATAAAGGGTAAGTTATATTTTGGCAGGTATTAGGGCAATAACTTAAACGTAGTCTTAAGCCTATATACGCATATGGGTAATTACAAGACAACACACAAACAGCTACATTTCCGGTACGTATTGGTGCTCCCCGTGCATATTATTATATATTAGTGGTTATGCAACTAATTAGTCTTCCAGGGTTTCTAAACCAGCAACAGTGACCAGATGTTTTCTTGTTTTGCTATTCAGGKGCCAGCTCAGGGCCCAGACTGTCAAGGCACTTCCGTCAAAGTCTAAAGCTTGTCACATCAGACGGGCATCACAAGGAACATGAAGCATGAGACAAGTTCAAAACCAAAAAAAGAAAACCAGAAAGTGCCTCCCATACATTTGCCAGGTTTCCTCCTGCTCAGAACATGACGTACAAGCAACAGCACGGGCTCACAGCACACCACGTGCTACCCAGATAACTGCTCGGGRTGTCACCTGCCTGCTTAGCCCTGCTGCCCCGTTCACCAGGGCAAACACGGGCACAGTTAAGGCAGCAGCTGCACTGAATGCTCTTTGCACCCCCAACTTACTCAGCAGTAACGTGCGCACATCTGTAATGAAGGGCTTTTCTTCGATCCAGCTTTAAGTATTGAAATTATCATCATACCATTAGCAAATCAGCATTTACACTTGGTAGGCAAAAGCTTGCTGCATGCTTGTTTCACACACTGGAAGACTAAGGTAAAGTCTCCATCACCCCCTGTCATAACTCTGTATTAGTTTCCACCAGGCAATGCAAGCTGAARCAGCTATTTTTAATATCTGATTTTTAATGATCTGCACATAAATAAACCATGCTTTCCATGGCATAAATAAAGCATGATTTACATGATGTGGCACATGGGCTATACAGGTTATAACATATTAGAAAGGGCTCATTTGCAGGAGACTCCTCCAGATTAAAGATACTCATTTCACTTATGTCAACAAAACAGATTGAAGATCTCTGCTCCTTTTTGTAGCATCATATCAGGTCTAATTGCTGACCCAAAATAAGTTGTTCTGACACAAAAAGACTACTCGTGGAACCCTATATTCTAGTTTAGCTAAAGCAGCTTCAAAGCCAGATGAAGTTACACCCATGCAAACCCCTTATGCCAGCATCGATCCCAAAAATAAGACATACGTTACAAAGTCACTGCAGTTTCCTGACTGACTCTCCTCTCTGTTCTCCTGGTGCGGACACCTCATAACTGAGGGGCCACAGCGGGTAAGCGAATGCTGTTCCTGAGAGGAAGATCTCACTACAAGTTTAAATGAGAATACAATGCACAACACTCATTATTTCCCTCTCTTGAGGATGTACAGCAACTCCTGTTCGTAGGAATGGGGAAGGAAAAGTCGGAAGATGCAGCCTTGCAGCAGTCTTCACAAGCAAAATACCCACTATGTGCCTATAGGTTATTTTTCCTGCTGAACTGACAAGCTTTTCACACTTAAAGCCAGCAAAAAGCCCAAAGTACAGGGTGCTGCACTGAGTCCACGAGATTGCCCGAAGGCTGCCAGTCTCACTGCGATCCCAAACACCTGATTCCAGCTCCTCCAGGCTCCACCGAATGCCCACGTGGAGGCAAGCGAGGAGAGTGGGAGCAGCCGTGCGCTAAGGCAACCACCCCTGCCGGCAGCCTCTCCTCCCGGCTGTGCTGCACAAACACGGGAAGCGGAGCGCTAAAGGAAACCAGCAGCTCGCAGGGCAGATAAGGGAGCCACAGGAGGCTCAGAGATAGGGTAGGACGTCAAGGACAGGAAGGACGAAGCCGCCGCGCACGGCTGAGCCAGAAGCGGCAGTGGGAGCCTCCTCACGTCAGTTGGGTGCCAACGGGAAGGGGCAGCCCTGGGCAGGCAGGAGTCCWGGGAAGGAAAGTCCAGGCATTTCAGCATCCCACCTGGACAGGGGCACCAGAGCTTGCCCAGGCAACAGAGAAGAGACGGCAACAGCCCTGGTGCACTCGCACACCATGGAGCTCCGGCGGGCTTGGGACGCCCCAAGGCACCCCGAGCGGTGCCGGGGCGGCTGGCACACACGGCACAAACGCACCGTGCATCCCGGCTCCCTGCTGGCTGCAYCACCACAGCTCAATCACCTGCCGCACGTCCTCCCCGTCGCACGAGGCAGTGCCCCCTGCTAGTCTCAGGAGCACCGCGGCGGGCCCGTGCACCTCATTTCCCCCCCGCGGGGTGCCACAGGGAAAGCAGGGCGGAACACAAGGACCAAGGTCCGGCTAGGGAGGCCCGCCGCGGAGCGGAGCAGGGCGCCAGGGCTGCGCGCGGCGGCMCGCGGCCCGCGCAGGGCAGGCGCAGCCCGGGCGGAGCGCGGCTGCTCGCCGGGGCGGCTCGGCGCGGAGCCGCGGCCCTACCTCCCGGTAAGATGCGGGCACCTCCTGTCTTCGCATGGCACCGGCCGCGGAGGCGGGGCGCGGCGGGAGCCGAGCCGAGCCGAGCCGGGCCGGGCCCGGCCGGGCCACGACGCACCGAGGCCGCGGGCGCAGCGAAGGCCAGACTGAGCAGCATGAGCAGCGGGATGAGCTCCTCGCTGGTCTCCACGTAGGGCATGGAGAGCG